GTTCATGTTCATGTTCATCATTCGTTTCATGTTCATCATTCGTTCATGTTCATGTTCATGTTCATCATTCGTTTCATGTTCATCATTCGTTCATGTTCATCATTCGTTTCATGTTCATCATTCGTTTCATGTTCATCATTCGTTCATTTGGTAATGTCAACATACATGTTTTTATACATGGTAATATTTTGTATGTAACCGATGATTTAATAATACTCGCATTTATGAAGTGAAGGTTATTACCCAATATGCCCCTTCCATATATGTTCACAATGCTTAATTAAAATTCAAATTTTAAAAATTAAAATTTTAAATTGATTAATTTACAACCATTGATCATTTGTTTAGATGGCCAAGATCGGTTAATAAGGTTAACATGAAAGGGTTGGTTAGCATTTGATCTTGGCTATATATATATATATATATATATATATATATATATATATATATATACTTTATTTTAAAAAAGATAGTGATATTTACAAGTAATGGGCATGTGGGGTTGGTAGCTGGCCATGTGTTTCGTGTGGCCCATTATTGATGTCTATGATCCCAATGAGACCAGGAGGAGGGTACGTTACATTTATACCCTTTAACACGTGTCTTTATAATAATTTTTATTTACAAAAAAATATATTTATTAAATTCAACTTTTAAAATTCGTTGTAGAAGTAATTTATTTAGCCATGTAAGGATTTACAAACTTTGACTAGGAATTTACGGTGTTAAACATATGGGACTAAAACGTTATGAGTGTGATAAAATAGAGACTATTGGTGTATTCAATGCACAAAAAAAATCCAACATTTGAGCAGAACACATGGGATCATATGTTATTTACTCTAAAGGATGTTCGGTTCGTATAATGATTTTTAAAGAAATGAAATCCGTTAAAGGAATTGGAATCTGAAAGGAATTTGAATAGAATATTATCATGTTTGATCAAGTGTTTGGTTGACATCAATGAAATGTAATTTGTTTAATAAATTAGAATCTATCTGTTTGATTTCCAACAAAATTGGAATGGAATGATGAAAAAGACAAAAATACATTTTCTTTGATTTTTTTTTTTTTAAATCTTTTTCATTTGGAACTCATTCGCTCTCAATTTGTTGCCCTAAATAAAATTGATTTGCAACTCTAATTTCTAAATCAATCTGCTAGACCCACAATTGATCTGCTAATTGTTGCCCTAAATCGATCAATTTGCTAGACTGCTCCTATAGAGAAGTTACGAACCATGTAATCATTCTCCATTTTCAGAATCTTCGTTTTTCAACGGTTCTTCGTCAAAATTGAGCGCGTAACCCAGAGGATCGTACTGGATCTAGGGGATTTGTTGACCGAAGCTTTTGTTACGATTGAACCACCATATAAAGGTCTTCCATCTAGGACCGATGACGATCTCCGACCACTCTCGAATCTTCTTCAAGGCGTCGATCCCTCGCGACCACATAGTTCTTTCAGAGTGGTATTTCGAAGACGATGAACGTACTTTCTCGAATATTCAGTTTGAAACCCATATTCTCACGCCCCAACTTTTTTTCTCTTTCGAGTGTCGTGACGTCATTCTTAATAACTTATGCCATGAGCGAAATACGAACTTAAAAACTTCAAACATACATAAAGTGTTTAACATAATTCATTACATAATTGTGGAAGCGTAAAGTACTTTAACATAATCAATGCTAATTAAATATCTAATCAAACATGATCTAAAACATAGTCCCATCTTTCTTTATTTGAACCGTCTAGTGACAATCGGTACCTGAGATATATACATGTATAGTATAAGCTAAAAACTTAGTGAATACAATATAGTTTCGTGATGACATGCACATATAATATTGGTTTAGAGTATTTTAATTATTATCTTGTAAGTGTGGTCTCGACTCGTCACTTTTCTTTACGTATGTGACGTATTTTCTATGGACGAGGACTTCAAGACCTCGGAATTGCAAACCCCTATTTCATATCCAACTCACCCCGTACGGTGGACGAACCTTGCCAAATCATACTAGTTGTATACCATTTATTTGCAATACTCATTTATTAATGTAAATCTCATCGTGACATGCAATATACATCTCGTGCAAGTGATGACATAAATATCATACGCATCATCATCATATTATGCATACACTTGACTAACATACTGATAATATCAGGTCATCATCATCAACATCTTTCATATCATGCATATACTTGGATATCGTGTACATCAATATAATCAAGTCATCTATGTATACATACACACACACATGCGCACACACACACACACACATATATATATATATATATATATATATATGTATTCGAGTTTACTATGAAATCATTATATTTGTTTAATCACTTTACAGTTTTTGGGTTCACCAAAAGAATTTCCCTGATTTTCCGAAATACCAATTACTATTTTTTTTTTTGCGTATTATACATATTGATATATAGTTTCAGATAAAATGATAACCAAATCAATTCTAGATCTCCCCGTAAAATAAAATCGAGAATTACAAACAACAAAACAAAATATAGCTTTTAGAACTCTGTTGCATTGCACTGTACATTCTAGTATGTGTGTGTATATATGTATATATCTATACTATATTATAAAGCATTTGACAAAAACTCTTAAAAAATATTTTTTATGCATGAAGTACTGTTTATCGATGCATGTTACTTAAAATTCAAGATTACAAGTCAATTATACGTAAGTACAACTTATTAAAGCTTCATGTTTGAATTCATGTAACTAAATGCAGATAAACATAATCAAATAGAGGATAAATATCTCATTTAAATATAAATTATCTAAAATATAATTAGGATAATCATTGACTTCTAACAAAATATTATCTTTATAAGAAAATATTTTATTAAATCAAAAATAAAAAACGAATTAAAGAAATACAAAAAAGAAGAAATTTTAAATAATTAATTTAGTACTAATATCAATATTTTTTTCAATTTTTTATGATATTTTCATCTTTATATTTTATTTTAAAATAAAGCATTATCGTTTTCTCAAAACACATAAAATCGTTATTATAACATCGACTGAGACAAAAAAAACGAAACATTAAAATCCAAATATATACAATGCATTATGCGAATACCCTTCTAGTGTATATGTATTTATATATATATATGTGTGTGTGTGTGTGTGGGCAAGCTCAAAAGAGAAGACGGTGCGAGAAGACGAGAAGAAATATGAGTCACACAATCAACTAATTAAAAAATATCATAAATAAAAAATAAAAATAATTTTAAAAATTAGGATAATTATCATTATGAATTGAATAAATCCTTAAAAATCTCATTATATGTTTTAGATTTATTTATTTTTTAATTTTAATTAATTAATAACTTTTTTCTATCAAGTTTGAATAGATATACTTTTGTTAAAACAATTTTATAATTTTCATCAAATATTAGATATAATATCCACAATCATTAATATTTGATAATTGTAAATATATTTTTGTTAATCATATGTGATTATGTATATTTACATTTATAGATCTTTTTGTGATGTAAATATTATTACATGTGATAATACGTTATTTATATTCAGACGTATATTAATAAATTTTTGTTAAACGAAGTTTATCAAACGTGATTCAAAACCTAAATCCAAAAATTAGAAAAAAAATGGTAAAAAAGATTATAAATTACTTTTAGGTATTGTGGTATTTGATGAAAATTTTGATTTTTTTTTATCAAAACATATCTAGAAAAAAAAAAGTTATATAGAACTTTGTAAAATAATTATGAATTTATTAAATTAAGAAAAAATAAATCTAAATTATATAATTAATTTTTTTAAAGATATATCTAATTTAAAATGATAATTATCCTAATTTTTAAAAATATATTCAATTAAAAATGATAATTATCCTAATTTTTAAAAAGAAAATTATATTATTTTTTAATTAATATACTTCCTATATATCTGTGTATATATATATATATATATATGTGTGTGCGTATATATATGAGAGGGATTGATAACAAGGAATTGAATATCCATTGGCATAAAATTCTCATTATCCGTCCAACAAAGCCTGCCTTGCGGCCCCTCCAAAAAGGTTAAACCCACGTATCAGCTATCCATCTGCAGATTCCCAAACCTAACATCACCCACTGTTTGATTTCCGATTAATTTTGCGGGACCATACTTTCTCATGGATTCCACTCCACTGATCTCGAATTGCGATGGTGGGGTCTCTGAGAAGATCATCATCGATACCGATCCAGGCATTGGTACCATCTTTTGCTTTTCTTTTTTCATATATTCTTTCAGTTCGATTTTGTCTGAATTTAGAAAAAGGAAGCATGCTTAATGAAGTTGAATGAGGTTCTTTAACTGTAAATCGGATGAATCACATGGGTATACATCAGAAAACACGTTTCAGGATGATGAGAATATTTGATCAGTACCTCCCAGAATCTGAATCTGAATCTGTTTTCATGATGACAACCTTTTCACTACCACAAAAGTATAGTGGATTACTAACGCTGAATAAACAAATTGATGTTAAAATAATTTTACCCAATTTGGTTTCCAGGAGTTCTAAAAAAAGTCAAAATTGGATTTACTCTTCTGGTACCAAGAGCAAACATTTGATGTATGCATCTGTATAACTCTATCTAGCATACATAGCTTATTTTGGTAGTAACAAGTAATGGGGTTTGATTACTTTGATGCTGGTTTTGGTATCTTTATTGGTTGTATTAGCAATATGATTCATCAAATGATATGGGAATTTAGAACTTTGGGGCAATTGTAATGTTTTATGCATGTTTGAAACTTTGAGTTGAACTTGTTGAATCTGGGATGATCAAGTTTCTTTTAGAACATTTAGAAAAGTTAAAAATAGATCTAGAAAGATGATCTTGGTCACTTATCAACAGTTCTTGGGCATCAAAACCATCATCTTCTTCTCTTGATGAGGAACAAGGCTTTTTTATACGATTATATGCAATATTTTTGTTCTAATCTGTATTAATATGAAGATTCACATATAGGAGCTAGAAATCGCAAGAACAATTATCATACGAAACGTCTTTTAGATATCAATGGGTTTGTCTACCATTTACAGATGATAGCATGGCACTCATGATGGCTTTCCAAACACCAAACTTGGAGATCTTAGGTTTGACTACCACTTTCGGTAATGTCTCTACAAAAGATGCCACTCGCAATGCCTTGCTTCTGGTACTCACTTTTTTGGAGTTAATTTCTACTTTTTTACGTTTCAAATATAATTGGATCTTGTACATGATCAATTACTAGTTTTCTTGTGCAAAAGGATAGTGTGAGATTGCAGGACGTCGAGGTGTCCCTGTTGCAGAGGGTAGCTCTGGACCTCTAAAGGTATGCTGTTGTTCTACTCTCAACTTGATTTCTTTGATGATACCTACCTAATATGTTTGTGTTGAACATTCTTTCTTGGATTGCAAATTCGTCATTGGCAGAGATGTCTTTATCATTGATTTAGTCATAAGCTAGCTTTTGAAAAAACTACTTGCAGTATTGTTTCAATAAGCTTCTTTGTTTTTTTTCACTTTTTTCCAACTATGCCCCGTAAATTAATTTTTCAACGTGTTTTTTTAAGGTCATTTTACATTGATAGCATCTCCAACAGCTTCTCTAAAATAGAGAATGAAAAGTCAAAATCCTAAAATAAATTGCATTCAACTCCAATAGATTCTCCATTTTAGAGATTATCATTTATTATATATATACTAAATATTCTATAATTTATGATCCCAATACACTTTTTAAATATACTTTATGTAAAATTATTTTAGTTCAACTCATTTCTCTCTCCTCTCTTTAGAGTTGTAGAGAATTCTCTATATTTAGAGTTTTTTCTATTATTCTCTATTTTAGAGAACAAGATAGAAAAACTCTTGGAGCATTTTAGAGAATAAAACTCATTTTTTTTCTATTTTAGCAAAGCTGTTGGAGATGCTCTTATTTAGCTTATCCGCTAGTTTTTACCATAAAATCACTAGTTTATCAACTAGCTTATCAGAACATCTAGCTTTTCAGATAATTTGCCAACCATAGCCTTAAATCTTGTAAAGAAATTGTCATCAAGATGTTTTCAAACGCTTTTTATGCTACTCTTTGTTTCCCCTTGTTGGTTAAGCCTTATGAATTGAGCAAGCAAACACTTGTATATTGTGATAGGGTGGAGAGCCGGAGATTCAAGACTTCATTCATGGTTCGGATGGATTAGGTAACATAAATCTACCTCCCCCCAAATCCAAGAAAGTAGATATATCAGCAGCTGAATTTTTAGTTGACAAAGTTTCTCAATATCCCGGTGAAATATCTATACTTGCACTTGGTCCTCTCACGAACTTGGCTATGGTAAGTTGCAAATTTCGTTATTATAACATCCTGCTTTCAAGATTCAGTTGCACAACTGATGTTATGTCAACTGGTTCTTCTGTTAATCAATCTAGGCTATCAAAAAGGACTCCTCATTTGTAACCAAGGTGAAAAGAGTGGTTGTTCTTGGTGGAGCTTTCTTTGCACTTGGGAACATTAATCCGGCTGCTGAAGCAAACGTAAATTGTTACTCAACACCCTTTTCACTTTTTCTTATTTTTGTTTTTCGAGTGAAAAACCCGAAACTCTTCATCTTTTTCTTGCAGATTTATGAGGACCCTGAAGCAGCAGATATTGTCTTCACTTCTGGGGCAAATATAGTCGTCGTTGGCATAAACATCACGACACAAGTCAAAATGTCAGGTTTGTTCATCTCTTTTATTCGTTAACTCTTTCTTAGATTAACACCTATTTGTATTCTATGACAATGAAAGTGATTCAATGTGATTTGTGGCTTCCAGACGATGATCTTGATGAACTGAGGCAGTCTGCAGGGAGGCATGCTCAATTTTTGAGCGACGTTTGTAAATTTTACCGCGATTGGCATGTGAAATCTGATGGTGTTTATGGTAAACTTTTCTTTTCAATTGGTTTTTCCTAGTAAGTTCATATTTCTATGGTATCAAACCAAACGAACCCAGTGTATCTCAAAGAGGTAAAGTCCAGGGGTAGGATGTATGCATATCTTGCTCATAAATCATATCTCTATGATAATTTGGATGGAATTGCATATTTGATGTTGTTTTCATGATTTTCTTCAGGTATATTCCTTCATGATCCTGTCAGTTTCGTAGCACTTGTCCGGCCCGATCTTTTCACTTACAAGAAAGGGGTTGTGAGGGTGGAGACACAGGGCCTCTGTGTTGGCCATACTCTAATGGACCAAGGATTGAAAAAGTAATTTCTTTTTATCCAACACTATCAAACACTCACCTTGACTTTTAAGGTCAAACTTACCATTTTCAAATTCAAAATTCGATATGGATTTTGGTACAAATTTCACACCAACAATGTCCAATACATGTTATTTGATACTACATTGATGGGTTTTTAAATGTTTCTAAAACATCACAAGAATCCTTGTGAATTTTGCGAATCTAGTAGTATTCTATTTGACTTCAAAAGTCAAAATGACCTTTTGTTCTTGATCTGACATTTGTTGGTAACTAATGATGCAGATGGAACACGGACAATCCATGGACGGGCTATTCTCCGATTTCAGTTGCGTGGACGGTGAACGTTGAGGAGGTTCTGAAGTACATTAAAAATGTCTTAATGACACCGTAATTGATGTCGGGATTGTGGTCGAAAATAGGTCTTGGATTTGGAATTCAAATAGTTGCTCTGTGATTTTAAGCCTCTTGTAATCTATTGGAAATACCAACACATCATTTCAATAATTTGGTTCAGTTGTAAACTATCATATTTGCTCTCCCTAAATTTGGAAAAAAGAAGGAAATATCATGCAAAAAAAGGTACAATTAATCAAAATGAAACCAAATTTGGTTTACTTCTTATTTAATGAAACAATGTTTTTAATCAATGTAATAAAGTTTTACATTTTTTCTTATTTTGTGTCTATTTATACTATGTTATAAAGTATTTGACAAAAACTCTTAAAAATCATTTTTTATGCATGAAATACTGTTTATTGATGTATATTATTTTAAAATTCAAGATTATAAGTAATTTTTTATAACTATAATTTATTAAAGCTCTATTTTTAAATCCGTGTAATTAACTGCAGATAAACATAATCAAATACAAGATAAACATTTATTTTAAATATAGAAAATATAAATTATAAGATAGCCATTAAGTTATTACAGAATGTTTAATTAATCTTTTTATAAAAAACTAGAAGCGTACTCGCGCAATGCAGCGAGATACATCATGATTTTAATATTTCATTTTATTTTTTATCTCAGTCGATGTTATAATATGACTTTATGTGATTTTGAGAAAACAAT